CTATTTCTAGCTTTCTAAGGAAGCACCATATCATTTTCCAAAATGGTTGTATCATTTTGCATTCCCAGCAGCAGTGCCCAAGAGTTCCGATCTCCCCGCAGCCCCTCCAGCGTTTGTTATTTCCAGTGTTTTTGATTCATGCCAGTAATGCCGGGGTGAGATGGCATCTCATTGTGGTTTTAATTTGCATTTCTCTAATGGCTAGTGACCACGAGCATTTCCCCATGTGTCTGTTGGCAGCTTGAATGTCTTCTTTCGTGAAGTGTCTGTTCATTTCCTTTGTCCATTGTTTAATAGGATTATTTGTCTTTTTGTTGTAGAGGTATTGGATTTTCTTGTACATTATGGAGATTAGACCTTTGTCTGACTTGTATAGTCCAAAAAGTTTTCCCAGTCTGTAGGTTCTCTTTTGACTCTTTTGGTGAAGTCTTTTGAAGAGCATAGGTGTTTGATTTTTAGAAGATCCCAATTATCTGTCTTATCTTCTCGGGTTTGTGTGTTGATGGTTATGGTTTGTATCCTGTTAATGCCGTGTATTAGGGCCTGTAGCGTTGGTCCTATTTTTTCTTCTATGGTCTTTATACTTTTTGGCTTTATATCTAGGTCTTTGCTCCATTTTAAATTGGTTTTTGTATACGTTGTGAGGTATGGGTTCCGTTTCATTTTTTGCAGATGGATATCCAATTTTGTGTGCATCGTTTGTTGAAAAGACTGTCTTGTCCCCCATTTGATGGACTTTCGGTCCTTGTCAAAGATCAGGTGACCATAGGTGGATGGATTTACATCTGAGTTCTGAATTCTGTTCCATAGATCTATGTGTCTGTCATTGTACCAGTACCAGGCTTTTTTGACTACCGTAGCTGTACAGTAGGTTCTGAGGTCAGGTAGTGTGTGTCCTCCTATTCTTCTTCTCCAGTAGTGCTTTACTTATTCGGGGCTTCTTCCCTTTCCATATAAAGTTAATGATTAGTTTTTCCATCTCTTTGCAGAATGTTGTTGATATTTGGATCGGGATTGCCTTGTATTTATAAATTGCTTTGGGTAGAAATGTCATTTTCACTATGTTGAGTCTACCTATCCATGAGCATGGTATGTTTTTCCATTTATTTAGATCCCTTTGGGTATCTTGCAGTAGTGTTTTGTAGTTTTCTTTGTATAGGTCTTTTACAGCCTTCGTTAGATTTATTCCTAAGTATTTTATTTTTTTAGGGGCTATTATAAATGGTATCATTTTCCTGATTTCCTTTTCATCGTTCTCTTTATTGGTGTATAGTAATCCAACTGTTTTTTGTATATTTATCTTGTATCCTGCCACTCTGCTGAATCTTTCTATTATTCCAGTAGATTTCTTGTGGAATCTTTAGAGTTTTCTATGTATAGTATCATATCATCCACAAACAGGGACAGTTTAACTTCTTCATTACCAATTTGAATGCCCTTTTTTCTTTTTCTTGCCTTATTGCTCTAGCTAGAACTTCCAGCACAATTTTAAATAGAAGTGGTGATAAAGGGTATCTCTGTCTTGTTCCTGTTCTCAAGGGAAATGTTTTCAGCCTCTCTCCATTAAGAATGATGTTGGCCATTGGTTTTGCATAGATGCCCTTTATTATGTTGAGAAATTTCCCTTCTATACCTATTT